TTGGCAATATTTATTTTTCTTAGTCTCATTATGTACGAATTTTTTTTTGGATTCTGCTATATAACCGAAAAATAAATATATTATTATTATTATTAATTTAAACGTGAATATTTTTTGCGAATGGTAATTTCCCATAGGTGTCTTGATCATCCTAGTACTGATCACACTCCTGGCATCAACAAATTTCTGTATTTAACATCAAAATCGCTGAAATGGGAAAATTTTCAATGCTTGGGTACGATTGGACGCATCTAAAAATCACAAGGGGGCTTTCTAGACAGGAATGAATAAGGTGATTGTCGTTTATTTAAAAGAAACAATTAACATCGCAAAAAAAAACAAAAGAATAAAATTTATATTTGCAAGAGGAATATAATTCAGCTGCGTAAGTTATTTAAATACAAATGTACTATAATGATAACAATTGACAAATTAAAAATATGACTCAACGTTAATATCTTTGAGAGAGTAAGACCTACTGGAAATACAAGTAGTACAGTACTATTCTAAAGGTAAACATAAAAGCTGCTCCAAGTAGACATACAATTAATTTTTTTTTGGCACTACACTATTAAAAGAATTTGGGGGGCCTGGAATGAGTACGAAGTTTTCTAAACACTATCACAACTTTGTAACAACCTACATCACTGTACAGCAAAATAAAACAAGGAAGACTAAACAAACATGTTTAAAAAGCCTACGTAAATATCACAACTATGAGATCTAAAAGACTAGAAATAAGTACGCGTTGCTCCCAACCTTAGGCCTTATTCACATTTTCCAAAACCATAGAGCACAACTGTAAGCAAAACTTTGTAGAAAACTCCTTTAGGAAACCGGAAGGTTTCTGTTTTATTACGTCGTCCTTAATGATCACGTCGCCTAAATTATCATTGTAATTTTTGCAAAATAACAAAATAGAAAGCGGGTAGAAATACTTATCCATATTTTTCAATAGTATATGTTCTAAGATAGGCACAGGTAGATTATTAGATAACCAAAATTCGACAACCTTCAACAGAATATTCTGCATTAAAATGTGGTTCTCGGAGCAGTAGGTTTGCTTAATGTAAAACTCGACGAGACGCGCCCCGAGCTCGGTGATCTCACGCGCGCTCGGGTCTTTAATTTGTAACAGCAACTCATCGTCGTCCATCATTTTGTTCTTCATATTCCTGTAGGGATTGTCCGAAATCAGCTTAGAAACGGTGGATATCGGTGAGCTGTCGGCCTTCACCGATTGCACGTACTGCGACATCGTCTGGCGCATGTCGCCTGATTCGGATATACTGCAGGGACTCTCACAACCGCCTTGATCTTCGTAGTCGTCGCTCCACTGCTGTATGCTGTCCAGCGACGAACTACTGCTTAAGTAGTTGGTTTTCTCGTGCGCAAAGACCTCGTAAATGTCGGCGTCCAGCTTACAACTGTGCATCGAAAAGTCGTACTTCTGCCGATTGATGTATTCTCTAAACGCCTGAAGTTGAAAGCCCAAACTGTCGCTGTAGTGCTCCTCTAACATCGCTATCTTGCTCGCCGCTTGCAGATTGTTTACTTTCAGGCACTTGGACAGAACGCCTTCCGTATCGTAATATCCCGCGTAGCTCTCCAGGACGTAGTGAAGAGTTTTTTGGCCGAAAGTGTACGAGGCAGTTTGCTTGATTTGCTCTAAAGCAGATGATCCGTTAATTTTCACCTTGTCGGTACGAGACTCGGAATTATTTTCGACGCAAAGTATCGAAGAAGGTAAAAGGTCTCTGTTGTGATACGAGTCGCCATCGGATGGGCTGTAAGTAATCGCCATTGAAGGTAGTCCGGGAATTTCGATTGGGAATAAATCGGTCCCGTTTTGGACGGTGTGTGGAATTTTAATTGCACGCTTTGTGTTTTTAAATATGACCACTTTACCGTCTTTGTGCTTATATTCTTCGTCTTGAGATTTTCCAAGTAATGTCTAGAAAAATGAGCAGATAAGAATGTCTCCTTATAAAGAACCTCCCCTCAATAATTTAATTAATTCAACCAACAAACTATTTTCATTGGATTTCTCTAGTAAATGGGGTGATAATCGACCTTATTAAAATTGAAAGAATATTTGGATGCAACCAATCAGTATGGTTGGGCGATGGTACACTAACATAAGCCATCCCTATGGATTAGTGGCATCTAGATACTCTAGAGCTACTTGTTCAAAAAAATTAGTGTGATTTATGACATACCAAATTATTCTACGTTAAATTCCCAAGAAAGTATCTAAATGAAGTCGTACAGGAAGTGATGGGGAGAGGCCTTTGAAATTAATCGGGAAGACACTTCTAGTGACCTATCCTAAAGCGCAAATAACGCGCCACGTGACATTGGCACAAACGTCTGCATTGCCTCGGGCGCCATGTAACGGTCACGTACAGACGTTCCCTTATGTACTGCTATAGAAAATAGAAGTTCGTGCAGTGCCTTCAAAAGGCTCAAGAAAGTAATCTGAACAGTTTGAAGAATAGGTATTAAGACATTTTTCAAGAGGATTTTCAGATCTTTTTAAGCACGTGTATCATTGGAAAGAACCAAGGAAACTCAGAGAAGAGGGTGAAATGTTCTGGAAAAGACTCCCACATATGTAGAGAGAGGTTAAACAAGTAGGACAGATGCAGCAACGACTTGACAAAGTATTATAAAATCATGGGAAACACTAGAAAACGCTTAAAGGGTTTCGATAACCTTTATATTCTTACTTACCAGAATCCCTAGAAGGCTCTAGAATTAACACAATGCCCTGGAAAGCATTTAGAAAACTGTCGAAGCTGCCTACGACTTTCCGGATCGTTTTTGCAGAATTGATAGACAGTTCCTAGAGCTCTACAAAACCGTATCTCCCCTTTGCCCCTTATTACCCGAGGTGAAGTACAGGTTCCCTTGAAAAGTCTCCGATTTTCAGGAATATTTGAAAAGGGGCTTTCCAGATCTCTATACAGCGTTGCCTGAACATTTTATCGAATTCACAGTGTTTCAAGGCTCTGGAAAGCACTCGTAAGACTATGGAATGCAGTTAGAGACATACCGTAGCCTTCGAGTGTAAAAGGCGCTGGAATTACCAGTTATAAATACACAGAACAATAGCCTTCAGATCTTACCAGAGCCTCAAATGCCCAGAAAGGTCTATAATGATCTTACCCGTGGGCATACTTTCTAAGCACTGTACACTAAACAAGCACATGCACTGCGTTCTTATCAAGTGGGGGGTGGATTGAGTGACGTTGAGGGGTCGAACGACCCTAGTTAGAGCGGTAGTACAAAGGGCTCGAATTTGCGGCCCTCCTATCGTAATCTCTGGAAGGGCCCTAGCAAGCTATCAAAGAAACAGTTATGAAAACACGGAACCATAGTCTCAGCGTGCTTATCAGAGTGTCAAACGCCTAGAAGGCTCTAGAATGGACTTACAACAATTTGGAAACAACCTAGTAAGCTGTCGAAGACGCCTAGGCCGTTATAAAAATAAGGAACCATAGCCTTCGGGTGCTTATCAGAGCCTCAAACGCCTAGAAGGCACCATAATAAACTTACAATACTCTGGCAACGACCTAGCCAGCTGTAAAAGGAGCCTAGGCAGTTCCGAAAATACAGAACCATAGCCTTTGGGTAGTCACTAGAGTCTCAAATGCATTGCATGTTCTAGAATGACCTTACAATGCTCTGGAAACGACCAAGCAAGCTGTCGAACAGGTCTAGGAAGTTATGAAAACATGGACCCATCGTCTTTGGGTGCTTACCAAAGTCTGAAATTCCCGGAAAGCTCTATAATGAACCTAGCACGCTCTGGAAGAGCACTATCAAGCTATCGAAGAAACATAGGCAGTCATGGAAATAAGTAACCATAGCCTTCGGGTGCTTACCAGAGTCTCAAACGCCTAGAAGACACTATAATAAACTTACAATGCTCTGGCAATGACCTAGCAAGCTGTAAAAGGAGCCTAGGCAGTTCCGAAAATACAGAACCATAGCCTTTGGGTAGGCACTAGAGTCTCAAATGCATTGCATGTTCCAGAATGACCTTACAATGCTCTGGAAACGACCAAGCAAGCTGTCGAAGAGGTCTAGGAAGTTATGAAAACATGGAGCCATAGTCTTTGGGTGCTTACCAGAGTCTGAAATTGACGGAAAGCTCTATAATGAACCTAGAACGCTCTGGAAGGGCACTATCAAACTATCGAAGAAACCTAGGCTATTATGAAAACACCGAACCATAATCTTCGGGTGCTTACCAGAGTCTCAAACGCCTAGAAGGCACTATAATAAACTTACAATGCTCTGGCAACGACCTTAGCAAGCTGTAAAAGGAACCTAGGCAGTTCCGAAAATACAGAACCATAGCCTTTGCGTAGTCACTAGAGTCTCAAATGCATTGCATGTTCTAGAATGACCTTACAATGCT